CTCACCTCAGTTTTAAGGATCAGGAAGGTCTTTCAGGTCATGCGTTTATTGAAATTAGTTTTTGCGCGATGTGGAGGCACATGCATGGATCACAGAACTATGGTTATTTTTCCTGAGCACCCCTCTGAGATACGGGTTACTGCTGTGATAGTAATTCCATAAATTAAATATCGTGGGTAGCCCTTTGCGACATCATGCGAGCGCCAGTTGAAGATGCAGAACTTTGTTACCACGGGGAGTTGATCCAACCAGCCTTTCATGCCGATTTTGGCATTCGAACGGCTGCTCAAGAAAAATGAAGCATAGTACTATGTCCACGCTAGTGTCTCTACATAATGCAAAGAACGGTTTTGAAAAAAGCGGCATGAAATACCTTCCTTGTATGCGCATAACAGGGGGGTACAATCCCGTATTCCGTTCGTTAGCTTCAGCAGGGATGCGTGTGACTAGCCCGCTCTGTCATTCCAAGTATGGTTGAAAACTATACTCAAAGGCTGAGTTTGCGATGAAACGATAGCTCACAAAAAACTAAGGTAAGAGGTGTGATGCAGGGTTGAAAAAAAGCAAAGAAACGGCCTACAACCCAGGAGATGAGTACCCTTCTACCCACTGATTTGCGCGTCTGTTCGGTGGTGCTGACCACGCCAACGCTACCGCTCTCTCTGCTAGAGCAGCTAGGGTCGGACAGCGAGGAGTGGGCGGTCAGCGGAGCGAGCGGCATGGGTAGATCCTTGCTAGGCTGCTAAGGGATTCTCTCGCTGCAAACCCGCATCGTCTCCCACCCTCAGGGAGCTTGTCCGTCTTTCCACTAGGTATATCTCCATCTTTCTAACTTCGACTTCAGCGGCTTTATTATCTATTTTTATTATTATTATTATTATTATTATTATTATTATTATTATTATTATTATTATTTATTACTTATTTATTATAATTACTATTATTATTTTATTACTTTATTATTTTTCTTATTTATTTATTTGTTGGTGGACTTCTATCAATTGTTGTACTTTTGCTGTACTGTGCTTTCAGCAGCGTCCTTCCCTGGAGCAATGTATCTGTTCTAAAAACGATGTCCTTCATTGGTGCTTTACTCTCTTTCAAAGGTTTGAGGTTTGACTTCAGCCAATCCAGCAGAATCCAGAATCCACTTAGACGATGCGCGTCGATCGGAGCACGGCTGCTGGCATGAATTTCAGCAAATTGAAAAACATGCTCAAACACGCGCTTCCTGCAGGAGTCAGCTATCCTGTGAGAAACACCCGACCGACTGAGTCATGTTCGAATATCGAAAGGAAGGATAGTCGATGCACATGGCTGTAAGCGATGACCCCTATCCTTATCAATGGAGGTTTACAAGGGGGGGGGATACTGTGAAGAGGTTATCGCGAACTATTATAAGTTCACGTAAAGACTCCTTCTAGTGTGATCGTACTGACTTCAGCGATTTTCCAACACAGCTGTTGGCCCTGCTTCCACCATCCTATCTCGCAATACGCAAAACCAGCCGAGAAAAGCGGCATTGTTTTTCTTCTTTCCCTTCTCCGTTTCTAGCATCTTCCTTTGCTTTTTTTCTTAGCGCTCTCACCATATTGCTTCATATTTGTACTCTACTACGCACTCTGTACTGTGTACTAGTGTAGTGTGCCATTACATGTCTAAAATTTGTCTCATCCGCACGAAGCGATCTCCTACTTCTACAATTAGCTGGAAATGCTAGAAAAGCTGCCATGTACGGCTTTGTATAAATCTCGGCATTATGTAGTTCTTACTTTCTTCTGTTGAACTCCACATGGGGTCCTTTGAAGGAATCTTCCACGGAAAAAGCTCCGCCCTCATTACCACAGAAAACGATACCTTAAAGGAATCTTCCACGGAAAGAGTGATCATTTTGTCTTGTGTGTAGGATTAGTATTATCGAAACTAACGCTTATGTTCTTTTTGCTATGCTCATGAGGCTAGGGGCCTAAGGTATCGTTTTTCTGTGGTATGGAGGCGGAGCTTTTTCCGTGGAAGATTCCTAAGAAAAATTTTGAATCTGGCCTAACCGTTCGGGCTATCAAGGCTTTATAACAGAGCCTCAAAGGGTCGCATCAACTCTGAGAGAACTCGACCAACGAAACCCGACCAAACGTCATCGCTACCCTGCGAAGTCCAAGACCAGCAGATCACCAGGAATAGGATACTTGCCCTAACCCAGCCCGATTTTTAGATGACACAAACTAGCTACACCAGCTGCAATACGGATTTTCATAGGGTAATTGCTGCTTGAATGCCAACCTTGTATAAGGTCTTACTCTCTCGGTATCGTGAGGCATTCTTCCCTCTGATTCATTTTCGAGCTGCTCACGTGAATCCGAAATGCCTTGAGGGTTTTTGTGCAGAGGTTTCTATCAATAATAAGACCACGACCGTGGCTTTAAATCGTCCTGTCATGAATGCGAACCTAGTGGGCTCCTGAAGCACTTGATAAGCGTGACCTAATATTGTCATCTAAGTGCTCCTTTTCACGTACACTGAGTGGTCTTGCCTTCTTGCTCATTCCACAACTGGAACGAGTGGAGGCTTTGGGTAGTACGCAACAACTAGTGTGAGCTGCGCTAATGTCTCCTGAGAGGCGATCTTCCCGAAACTAAAATCCACTGACAAAGGAATTTTCCAGTGGTTTCTGTTGGAACAAAAAAATTAACGGAATGATAACCCCAATTGACACGTTTCTGCATTTCAATCAGATGCGATGCTTTTCGACAGGTGCGTACTTAAAAGAATTGACGATGCATTCAATTCCGCTTTCGTCATGTCTCCATTAATCATCAAATATAGAAAATCTTCGAGTTTTCCTAGGTAATTTTACACTTGAATTTCAATCCCTGTGACTGAATTGAATATGAAATTATGAATGAAATTCAGCACTGTTTGAGAATTGGTATTTTTTGCTTTTCTTTCCGAGACCTTTAGATCGAAACCAAAAGTCTTTTGTTCACATAGTGAGAAAGTGGGCGGTAGATCAGCGCCTCCGCGGTGGAACCGTCTTTTTTCCTTGAATCGATAAGTCTCGCTTGTGTCAGTTTTCCCCACACAACCATGAAGATTGCCAAAAGCTTATTCTGCTACATAATTTGCTTACTACCATCGAAATTTTTCTGAAAATTTTTCTAAATGATCTTCTCATGTATATGGGTCTTTGCATAGATTTTTTTAGTGCGTTAAAAAAATATGTCGTGGTAAATCAGGATTTTCTCACTTAACATGCAGTAGTTAGCTTCTCCTTCAGCTTATATCTGTAAAATTATTCGCTTCTCCTTACCCTAGATCTGGTGTTTCTTTTTGCGTAGAGATCTGTTAGTACTGTAGAGAGACTGTTACCGTATATGAACGAAGCAATGTATCGTAGTTCAAAGGAGTCAAATTAATCGCTACCACTGAACCGACCATAAAAACATAAAGATTTCCACAAAATATCTTCTTCTTGCGCAATTTTTTGTAGGATTTCTTGATGTTCAATTCTCTTTACATAGCACCTGCTTTTGTTGTTTACAATTTGGCCTTTTACACAAGATTGCACCCATTTTGCTGTTTTACGAGTGCCTAATGCTGAAACCGCTTACGAAAACATCAATCGAGCCCACAAACTCCATACGGCGTCCCGAAAACAGCTTTCAATTGGTTTGCGAAGTGTCGTTACGAAAACACTGATACGAACAACAAGTCAAGGCCCGAAAGAGTGCGCAAGATCGATCGAGAAGGAGTCATTGAGGCATCTGAAGAAGATGCGACTCTGACAACCAAAGCGTGATATCGACTTTTACTGCTAAAATAGCAGAATTCAGTTGATTCCAACTTCCTTTGCTACCTCCTATGAAAACACTGCGTTTCTATTTCCACTGTGAAAACTTATGAAAACTATACTAAAACTTATCCAAGAACAACTTTTGGTTTTGCAAGCTGAATGGTTCAATTACATACAAAATCAGTAATTTATTTATTTTATGTCATGACCAATATCATTACATTTTTCACAAGAATGCTGGGTTGTGAACAAAACTTTCGCCCCAGGCGGGACTAGAACCCGCACCTCTCGCTTTCCGGGCAAGTGCGCTACCAGTTACGCTACCGGGGCACCATTTCATTCCAACTCAGCTTTTCATGGTATACGTACCATAGCTTGTCAGCACTCACACGTATAACGTGTCACAACCCAGCATTCTTGTGAAACATTCGCAAGGCGAACTGCGGCCAAAAACAGCAGTTAACAAACAAAAACAAGTCAAAAATCATGACATTTTTTCATCTATTTTTCTTATTCGTCTATTTATAGCACGGAAAGTGCGTGAAGAGAAACAACATTAAACAGAAAAAAATACTAACATTCAATTAATGACATTTACATAGTTGTATCACAATTTCTTCGATCGATCACATATTCGTACACTTCGTGAAGCCTTCCGTGCTTATTCGTCCATTCCTTACTTGATTCAGTTATTTATTCAGATTTGGCGATTACTGATGAATAAAACAGGCGACATGAAATGCGTATCAGATACGGAAGAGGCGCATGGATGCGGATGGAGCTGGTCAGATCTGATATATTTCTTATTTGATAGATGCACCTCATCAACGATGTTTTCAGGTTTTCACCTAAAGCGCTTCGTCGATTAGCTGTATTCAATG